GGAGGGGGCGGAGTGGGTGGTAAGGGAAGGGGTGGGGGCAGGGGGGAGAAATGAACCAAGCCTTGTATGCACATATGAATAATAAAAGAAAAATGACAAAAAAAAGTGCACCTGTTACCATGTCATTTCCCACCTTAAAGCTCCATGTGTCCCCACTGTCCCAGGACAATGTCCACACCTGGCTCAGAAGACCCTCCTGAGCTCACCTGCCCACTCAGTCCCATCATCTCCCTCTGCTCCTTCTAGGCCTCAACAACTTCCAGGCCTTGTGTGTGCTGTTCCCCAGCTTGGCACACTCCACCCTCCACTGTGCTGGCCAACTCCTACACATCCCCAAGGGCCCATGTAGAGGCTGTCTCCTCCTAGATGTCTTCCCTGATCCCACAAGGCTGGAGCAAGCTTCCTGCATCTTTCTCCACTGTAGTGAGGGTTCAGCCATATTGCTTCTTGATCTGCAGCCCCACTTCACCCAGTAGAGACTGGGCCTGGTGTTCCTCACCCCTAATTTCTCCATGGTGCTGGAAGCATGGCAGGCCCATATTGACTATTGGCTGAGTAAGGAAGATCTAATACTCTGCAATTGTGGGCTTGGCTGTTCTGTCTTGCCCCAAGCCTGGGATGACCTGGCATCTACAGTGGCCCCCATACCCTGAAAATGATGTTGAGTGGATTATGGTGTTTGTCATATGTGCAACGCTCATGTCAATAAGGTGCAACGCGAGTGGCTTGTGCAGTTGGCTCCTCAGTGGGCTTTGTGGGCGCAACTCATGGCCAGAGGGGTCATCTGAGGCTGAGCCAGGGGAGCCCTGAGCCTTGTCAAGGCCAGGGCCAGGGCAGCATGATCCCAGACGTCTGCCTGATGTTCCTGTCACGGAACATGAGGTAGCACTAAGTACCCTCCCTGAGTGTTGCCTCTTGGAGAACTGAGGCCTTTGTGACAGTTCCTGCAGGTTGGAGGTCTCACCTCCCAGCCTAGGCTCAGTCCCACTCACCTGGCCCATTCAGTGCCCCCCAGACACCAATTTTGGGGTGAGGTGTGTTATGAAGGACTGGCCCCTAGGGACACCCTAGGGAGAGGAGGACAGGGTGGGAAAGGGGAGGCAGCAGGGCAAAAGGACACTTTAAGGCAAAGTCACAGCTTTAGCCAGATCCCATGGGCTAGGCTTATACCAAGACATGGGGCAGGCTTTCTTACCTCCTCACAGTCAGTGAAAAGCTAGGGCCATCCTTGCTGAGTTTAGGCTGATCAGTAGAAGCTGAAGCTGGGACAGGGGACCTCTCCAAGCACCCTAGTCTCCAGAAGACCCTCTCCATTCTGTGACTGGGCTGGCCACATGCCCTCAATCCTCTTTAAAGTGTTGTGTCACACACCCTCTTGTGTGTCTTATACCCAGGTGGCTGCTTAGGTCCTTTTAAAGTAGTGGCCGCTGCCTAGGGCTCTCTATCTCAGCCATGGACTTACTTTAGGAGTCTTTATTGTTTCGTTTTAAATTTTATATGACGTTCTTGTAAAGAACATTTTCCAGGTGTATAAAGGTGTTTTATGGTACTTCCTGCCTTGCTCATTGCAGGATGGGTTCTGGCCAGATAGTTTCCCAGACAGTATATTGATGTGAGTGTAGGGGCTGTTGGTGGGGTGGGGGGTGGAAGGGCAGCAAACTGCCCCTTTTATCCCTGCAGATATTCTAGGGTGGACTGGGAAGGAGGGACTTGGTGGGATGGCTGGGTGGGCGCCCTTTTCTGGCTTCCTTAGCTTAGCCTGCTCAGGGTTGCCCCACCAGGCTCTGGGTGTTGATTCTGATCCTTCTGCCCTCCCCCCACACACACTTGTGGGCTGGGGCTTCTCCCATGAATGCTTGCTGTTTCACTAGCACACATTCCGGAAGGCTGAGTTCCAAGCTTTTGGCTCCCATGAGCCCCTGCGAATACATCTAGAGCCTAGAAACAGCCAAGAGACCCCAAGCAGGTCTTAGCACCATGTTCCCTGGGCTGTTCCCCTTTAGTGGTTCATGAGCAGCTGGCATTGGCATCTTTTTGTAGGGGTCTCATCCTCAAGCCACAGATGACCACTCTTCCCTATGTGGGACAAGAAATGCCTAGGAATTCATGTCACCCCAGTGCCAGCAGCTCTCAACAAATGGCTGGCGGGAGTTGGTATATAAACACCCAGTGGCCTCAGGATGTCTCTGAAGTGAGTGTTTTGTACAGATTCCTTACAGGTTTCCTGTGGGGTTTCACTCCAATCCTGGCAGTGGAAGCTGGGTTGACAGCACACCCCTTACTGGCTGCCCCCTTCCCTGTCTTGCTCCCCTATTGGTGTTTCCTGGAGGAACCCCAGGTTCACCACCTGCACTGAATTCTTCCCTCAGGTTCTGTTCCTGGGGGAGGCAAACTAAGCCAGGCAGGCTGTTTTCCCCTGATGCCTGCCCCACGCTATGGCCACTCTCCCCTAGTCTCAGATCTGTCCTCTTCCTCTCCCTCCCCATCTCTTCCATTGGGTTAGGACTGCATCCCGTCTGCATCCTGTCCTCTGGCTTTCTCTGTCCCCATCCATCTTGCATGGTACACTGGGAACCACGGACTCTTTCACACTTAACTGACATTCCTATGAAAGCGAGCTCCATTCTAGCTGCCCGGAGGTGACTCCAGGCTGTCACCAACCTGTTCAGACCTTGGAGTTCACGCTAACTGCATCTAGAGCAATTCCATCCTAGGGAAAAAACAAGGTAACTTGAGTGACCAGAAAGTCCGTACCAAATCAGCAAAAATAAAATTTAATCTTGCTTAAGTGTGGGCTGCCAGTCTTTTGGGGACCATCAGCAGTCCCTGATGAAAGGTGACCTGTCCTTGCCACAGGCTGCTCACTGCCCAGGCTGGTGGCTCAGGGCAGTGGGAGAGCTCCATTGCTACTGCTGCTACAGAGGGGCAGTGAGTCACAGTGTGCAGAGATGGTGGGCGCCTTCTGTGGGTTGCTCCCTCTTCCTCCCAGGTCTGCTGTGCTAGCCCAGATCCAGTGACCCTGGGTTCCAGTTCCCAGGTGAGGCAGGAGTTTCTTCCTGTCCTGGCCCACGAAAGGCCATAGCCTCCCTAGAATACCTTCTGGGGTACACAGCCCTCCATCTCCAGTAGCTCTGGCCATCCCTCGTACTTGTTTGTGTCTGGGTTGTTCTTTAAGAACTAGAGAGAGGAGAGAGAGAGAGAGAGATGTGGACAGTGGCGAGGCTGACATTTACTTTGTGCCTCAACACTTAAATGGCTCCCTCACCAAAGCCCCATTTCACAGATGGGAAGATGGAGGATCAGAGAGAGGCTGCAACTTGCCCAGGGTCTCAGAAATGGAATCCGAGCTCCAAAGTCTCCATTAGCCCACCAGGAATACCAAATAACAACAACAATAATAATAGCATTGATATGAAGAATGCTCCTAGCAATTCTCAAGTACTTGCTATATGCCAGGCTCTATTCTAAACTGCCTTATATGTTTAATCTGCTAAATAGTCCTAGGAGGTGCCTACTGTTACCATCCCATTCTACAGATGGGGAAACTGAGGCACAGAGAGCTGAAGTCAGTGCCTGTGGTCCCCCAATGGGTAGATGGTACAACCACTAAGAAATACTATGAATATTACTAATAAATATGTAAAGAGAATAAAATCACTTAAGGTTATATTTAAAGTGCTCAGGTTTAGTTTATGAAGGAAAAAAAAGTGGGAAAAATCTCCCATGGAAATAATTGAGATAATCAGGAAGAAAAAAAAAGAAATCCTCACTGCTGTTCTCTAAACACAGTTTTCCTTGTGTGGGAACAAGGGGCACCTTGGTTTTGGTCCTGCTGTGGTCTTGGGGTGCTGGGCCCCAAGGATCATGAGTATCAGGTAGAAGATGGTTGAGCTTCCTTGCCTTACGTCTTTCCCACTTGCTGTCTGGTCACTTTGATGGGTCTGAGCCTTGCTACAAGGAGGATGAGCTCCTGCCCAACCCATGCAGCCTGTTTCCACCCAGAGCCCTGCCCAGGCAGACCTGGAGTCCCCAGCCCAGGCTCCAGTGTATTGGAAGTCTCCATTCTTCCTCCCATGTGGGTACCTCATCCAGTCCTTAGTTCTAAAATGTAATTGTTAATTCAACTACATCCTTATAGAAACACACACATATAAGCCAGACAAGGAGACCAGTGCTCCCACTCCATGGTGCTCCCCTCTTGGGCTCAGCAGAGCTTCCTGCATGGTCCCCCCCTGCCTCTCACAGCCCTGACTCCTCTAGGTGGCATGGCCTACTACTGCACCAGCCACCTCCCTACCTCTGACTTCTTCCCTTCCACCATGTTCTCTGTGCCCAGCCAAGGAGGCCCTCCTGCATTTGTAAGGACAGGACATCCTTGTGGAGGCAGGAAGACTGCTTGTAAAATGCATTGCCTCACTGAGAGGGTTTGAGACCTGAGCCAGCTGGCTGAAAATCTCCAAGTTTCTGGTTTCTCACCTATATGAGTTAAGATACTAGCTCTATTTTATTGTGAATGTTAAATAAGATCCTGCAGGTAGCTCCACGGAGCAAGCACTTGCTAAATGATAGTTTTTCTATCAGTCCAGCCTGGCTACTTTCCTGCTTAAGCCTCCCATGGTGCCCTACTGCCTTCTGGTCAGAGTTTACTCTCCTGAGGGTCCCATGTGTCAGTGAGTGTTTTCACTTCATTCTGTGAAGGCCTGGCTAACTCTCCTAGGTTTCTGGAATTGCTCCAAGCTGGAAATTCAGAGACTGGGGCTGCCCCTGGCAAAAAGGAAGGCACCTTTCCCTGGGTACCCTAAGGTCTATTCGCTTCCCCCTTCCACCTGTGGATGTGCCTCAAACTCCACATCTGGATGCCTCAAGACCCTACTGCTCAGGGCCACCTCTGGGTCATGACTACAGAGCTACATTTTGGGGACACTTCCTGACTTTTACCAGTCCAGGTGGGGTCTCTCGGTGTCTCCTTCTTGGTACATGTTCACTATCTCCACAGGAAGTTCAAAGGGGATTCTGGGCTCCCTTGGTCCAAACCCTTCCCTTTCCAGGCAGGGTGATTGGGACTTGTCAAGGTCACGGCTAGGATCAGAAGCTAGGCATTCTGCCTTCTGCTCTGGGCTCCCCCATCCCTAAGATGCAGACATCATCTCTACATTTCTTTCTCTTTCCTCTGCCACTGTCCTGTTATTCTTTGTTCTTCCTTCTCCTTCTCTTCTTGGGTTCTGCTTTATGTATTCATATATGACCTGCCTCCTACAAAATGATCAAGGCAGTTTCCTGTTGCAGATTGGCCAATTGGATCACCCAGAATTGGAGTGAATGACATGGGGTGGCCCTCTCTGGTGGCCCTGTGTGGAGACTTCTACCAATTATTATGCCCATTGTAGTTGGAATGACTGTCATTGCTGCCCCCATGACACTCCATGTCTGCCCATCCCTCTCTGGCACAGGGAGGAAGCCAGGAACCCACCTGCTCAAAGGGGCTTTTGCTCTTGATGTCTTTGGCCCCTAAGAAGACCCAACTGTCCCGGAAGCCTAGCTGTGTGGCATAGGAACTCCCCAGGTTGGTGAAGAGCTTCCTGATTTCATCATTCATTCTGCAGGAGACCAGAGAGAAGGAAAGAGTGGCGGGTGAGGTGGATTTAAGGACACCACGTGGGCTGGGAGCAGGGTGAGGTCCTCAGGGACCTGCCCACCCTCTGCTCTGGGCAGCACCTGCTTTGGATGGCACCCAGAGTTCATGGGGGAGGACTGGATGAGGGGTCACAGACTTCCTCTCCCAGAGGGCCTGGGGTGGAGCTGGAGAGGTTTATAAATATAAAACACATTCATCTGGGAAATATGAGACATCATAAAGAAATAACTGAAAAATAGATCTCACCCCCTCCAATGACATAATCATCATAAACATTTTAACACGGTCATGAGTTGCTTAACAATGGGATGTGTTCTGAGAATCGTGTCATTAGGTGATTTAATTATGGTGTGACCATCATAGAGTGTACTTACACAAGCTAAGATGGCTACAATGTCACTAAATGATCCAACTTTATGGGACTGTATAATATGCAATTATTCATCGTTGACCAAAACCATGTTATGTGGTGCATGACTGTGTATTACTTTTTTCTCACTTAGCCATGAGGTTGAATATTCTTCTATGTCCTTAAATAGTTTCCACGCCATTATTTTTGCAATATATATCTCCTTATATACATATTTCATAACATACCACATATCATGGTCTGTCATAATTTCTGTTACCACTCAGCTGTTATGAGACAGGAAGCTATTTCTAGTTTGTCACCATTGTACTGAAGACGGCAAGGAGCCTCTTAGAACATCTCTCTGCACACTCGCCTGCTCCTTTCCTTAGGATGAATTGCCGGGAGGATAGAAAAGGGGGTGAAGTGTGTGGAAGTATTTAGTGTGCGTCACCACAGGGCTTGGCACGTAGCATTTCCCACTCACTTGGTCCCAGGGTCATCATAGGAGGCCACCAGCACTAGCATGCCCTCTGGAATTTCTACAAGGAATTTCACCAGGAGCTTGACATCTGAGGAGGAAGAAAAATGAGGTGCTGCTCATTTAGGGGAAGCAGCTGCTGGTCATTCTCATTCTCCTCTACTATCCTGATGACCCAGGGGTTACACGGGGCAGGCTCAGAAGCCAGGGTGAGGTGCCATTCTGGGGTGGAGCTCCCTGCTGGCACTTGTCCTAGGAAGGGCAACATGCACAGGGTGAGGGGTCCTTGTTCAGGAGGCCTACAGTGATGACTGTAGATGGCATTTTCAAGCTCCCTGTGTACTGTGAGGTGCAAAAGGGGTGAGAACCAATGGTCCAAGGGTCCTTGTGGGTCTACCCTCAAGGAACAGAGCACCCTCATTTCTCAGGGGCTCTGGGCTCTTTTTGTACACCCCCCACCCCTTCTCCACTGCTGACTTAGGAAGTGGTTTGGATACTGGTGACAGAACACAAGTCTCTACCAGTCTCTTGCTGCCTCCGGGAGTGAGGCTCTGTATACATCTTATTATTATTATTTTTTTTGGTGGTACTTGGAATGGAACCCAGGGCCTAGGTTAAGCACCTGGGAGGGGGGAGATGCTTGTGAGCTTTCTATAAACACACTGATTTGTTTCTATTATATTATGTTTGTAATCACCTTCCCTGCATAGCAACCAATAATGGCTTCGTATGTAGGGTAATGATATAGTTTCTTTTTAAGATATATGTATTTGTGTTAAAAAGTGAGCTACTTTAAAGAAAAATATGAACAATACACATGTTACAGCTTGAAGAAAGGGGCTCTCGAGTGGCTGAAGTTTGGGAAAGAGAGGTCTAGTGGCTAAAGCAGGGACTACATCTGGAAAACGAGGATGAGAAATAGCCCTGCACATAGCATCTTTGCAAAGCCCAAATGTAACAATAGCTTTGCGCATACAGTGAATGGAATTATAAATTATTAGCAGAATAGATACATAAGTTGTGTGGCCCAGTGTAGGGCCTCTTATTAAAGATTATTAAGAATTTCAAGGGCTGGATGTGGTGGAGAACACCTGTAATCCCAGTTATGCTGAAGTGGAAGTAGGAGGATTGTGGTCTGAGGTCAGACCAAGGCAAAAATATGAGACTCTAACTAAAAGAATAAACTAAAGCAGAAAGGGCTGGAGGTGTGGGCCTAGTGGTGGAGCACTTGCCTGGAAAGTGTAAGGCTCTGCATTCAAAACCCCAGTACCACCAAAGAGGAAGAAGAAAAAAGATTAATGTAGCATTAAATTACAAGCCAAGCCACTGATGGAAACTTAGACGTCTGGAATTTCAGCACAGAGGGGCCAGTGCCCTGTCCTGCCTGGCTGTGCTGAGGCAAGGAGAGCAGTGACTTCCCAAGTGACAGCCATGTGCATGGAGATGCTCAGAAGTGTGTCTGTGCAGAGACAGAGGAAAAAATCTCTGCAGAAAGATGCAGAGAGCCTCAGGGAGGTCTTTCTGGAGCCTAGAAGACTCTGTCCTGTTCTTGGGACTCCTACAGATGCCTGTGACCTTGAAATAAATTACTTCTTCCCTAGTAGAGTTTAAGTGGGTGGACATCAGTGCATGCAGGCCAGGCCCCAAGGCTAGCACTGGCATTAATTGGCCTGAAGGTCTGCACTGGGCTCCAGAGCCCACTTGTCCCATTCAGGCCAGAAGTGCTGGCAGGTGTTGAGGGATCAGGGTTGTGAGCCCCAGTTCCTGACTCCTCTGGGCTCTCACTGAGGCATGAGTAGGACACTGGCTTCAGTGGCCATGTGAAATGGCTTGAGGATACTCTCTGTTGGTTTCCTTTGTTACTCTGTTATTCGACATTTCTGGAGGTTCCCTCCCAAATAAACCCTTGCACTTGAACACTTGTCTCAGAACATGTGCATGGTGATCCCACTGAAGATCACCAGGAGTTTCAAAGGTAGCAGAATGACCCTCAGCCCCACAGCTCCTTGCCACAGGAAGAGGCTCAGCCTACCCGGTTACACAGTGCCTGTGGAGGCTCCTACCTCCGGAGTACATGTCAAAAGAGTCCTTTCTCAGCAGGTGTCCCGTGGATCCTAGGGGTAAGAGAGAAGAACCGTTACTTCTGGAATGTGAGTCATTTTGCTGAACATGGCTACTGGGTGCTCTAAAAACAATGAGAAATGAATGAAATCAGGTCCTGTAAAGAGTGTGCAGGACCAAATTATGTACCCAAAAATTGCTGGGCTGATTTGAGAGGGGCAAGAAAGAATATGGCCACATGTCTAGAATCAAACTGAACCTAACCAGTCAGAGCCTGTGTTTTGTCCAGTCAATTGCTAACACATGACTTAGCATTTTATCTTCAGTGTTTGCATGTGTACCTTGGGTTGTAGGAACTAAATGAAATATGACTTTTTTTTTTCCTTTGGCAGTACTGGTGTTTGAACTCAGGGCCTCATGCTTGCTAGGCAAGCACTCTACCACTTGAGCCATCCCCCAGCCTTGCTGTAGGAACTAAATGAGATACATTTCGAATAGATACATTCAAGACACATTTTAGCTGCAAAACAGTAATTAAAATGGTGATCGTCGCCATTACCACCTAAATAGAAAATCTGCAACTGGACTTCTCCAACTTTTAAAGGCAAAGGGATTTACAGTGGGGTGCATGGTACACATTTCCCCACAGTCTGTTAATCTAAATTGCTTTTGCAGCAAGTCCTCTAAGGGAACCTGGGGTTCTGGAGGAAAGTCGCAGTTCTCACGCTTCACCACGAGATGGCGGTGTTGCAGAGGAGATGGCAGCTGAGGCTTCTGTCCTGCACCTCTCCTGGCAGGTACGGGAACAGGTTCACCTTCCCTTCCGGGTTCTTGGAGCCACGTAGGGCTTCACCTGGGGTCCTTGGAAGGGATCTCTGGCCTTCTGAAACTGCTTTTGTTTTGTGTGCGTTTGTGGATCTTTCTGGAATTGGGATGGGGAGGGTAGCAGAGTCTGAGCGGCTTGTTAAAGGAAACTGCCCACCAAAAGGTTAAGAACACCACTCTTCAGCAGTGCTTTTGTTCGGGCTTATTACACAGAGGAGGAGCCCGAGGCCCTGGGAAGATCTGCGGCTAGAAGCCGTCTCGCAGTAGGCGCCATATACACGCCTGGAGACTGCTCGCCTAAGGCGGTGCTTCCCCTAGAGTCAGCCAGATTTGGGTCCAAGTCTAGATGATTCTATCGGCTGTGTGACCTTGGGCAAGTTCCTTATCCATTCTGAGCCTCTGTCACTTACCTGGAAAATGGAGATACCATGCAGAGCTCATTCTAGCAGGGGATAAGGTTAAATGCAACAGCTAGTGCTCCGTGCATGTTAGCTCTCTTGTCAGGGAAGAATATCATTTTAAAAACATTCATTTTGGTGTTTGGGCAGGAGGGCCCACTCTGGTGACAGTATGCAAAGAGCTTTTCTCAGCTGTGGCCTGTCTAAATGAAGAGGCACTCAGCCAGCTTTGCTGCAATTGGAATCCTTCCTGTCCCTACCTACCGCGGGACGATAAACAGGCTCTGCAGTGTCCTGGGGTCCAGCATGCATGGCAGGGTTGACCGGGTAGCCGCTCCCTTTGGGTTTGGATGCCATTGGGCCTCCTGATTTTGTTACTTGCTGGAGCTGCAGGGTTATTGTGACCATGGGTTGCCACTGCTTCTGACCTCCCTAAGTCCAAGCTGGAAGGGGTCTCTGGGAGGTAAGGCTGGCCTTTGGTGCCTGTGCAGAGCCTTCTCTGGTTCCCCCCTGCTCTCAGCTTCACGCCTACACTTCTTAGGTGGATACTTAGCTTCCTGTCCCCAGTCCTGCTGGCCTCCTAGCTTTGTCTTCCCTTGCTGACTGTTCCCCCTGTTCAGCACATAAGACCCTGCACTGTCCCCAGTCTCCTCTCCTCCTGCTCCCTACACTGCTGCCCCTGCCTGGAAGGAGCCTCTCACTTTTTTTCTGGCCATCAGAGTTGACCATCATCCCTTTCTGGAGACCTTCCCTGACTACCCTATTCCCCTCCATTCCAGCCCCCTCACTGAGACACTCATGGGAGCTGGGAAGCCGGGGCTTGTCCTCCTAGTTCACAGCTGTCCCCAGCGCCCTGGCCCATACTAGCTATTGTCTATATTTGTTGAATGAATGAATGCATGAGTGTACTCAGTACATGATCACTCACTGCCATTTGTTGTCCCAGGGCAACACATGAAGTGTGTTGGTGTGAGCTGGGATGGCCTTGAGGAGGGGTCGTGTTTCATAGAAGTGAAGCCTCCTGGGATAGCTAGCAGCAATATGGCAGGGCCTGGGATGAACCTAGTCTCTGAGACCTGCTGTTCCCCCAGGCCAGCCACACCTCCTTTCCCAAGCTCTATAGCAGCTTATAGGAGCGCTACAGGTGACAGGAGCTGAGCCAAGGCTGTGCTCAGACTGGTGTGGGGACTGTCTGGTCACTCACCATTCACCAGGGCGATGTTCAGGCCTCTGCCCACATTGTTTTTCACAGGACTCATGATCCTAAAGATGAAGAAAAACAAAAGACAACTGTTGGTCCAGCGTGGAATGGATGCTCTGTGACAGGGACCCCTAGGGGGCCCTGTGGCCCGGTGCAGAGCACCAGGACATACCTAGCATAACCTGGACAGTCTGTTTTATCCTGGAAGTGAGCGGTGGGCTGCATTCTCTGAGCTGTCATCCATGGCACATTTGGGTCAGAATGGACTCCTCAGAGAACAGATAGTTCTCTGAGGGCTTTGAGGTGCTGAAGGTGGGATGAGCCCCCTCCCAGGCCAGGAGGAGACAAAGCTCAGAGAGTTACTATCATCCTGGGTGAGTGGTCCCCACATGGAGTGTAGATGTGTTCCTGCTGGCCCACCATCCACACCCTGTCCTTTGCTGTTCCTTGGGAGAACTGTTCTTCAACACTCTCAGGCTGGGTGGTTCCTGGGACCCAACTGTCCCCAAGGCCTAGACAAGAAGAGCCTTCTGTGCCCCAGGCCACAGTGGTTGGGCCAAGCATGGTCATGTGACCCATGGTAGTCAATGAGACCCAGTCTTGGCAAGGCTCTTTCTGGTAGTGTGAGGGGGTGAGGGGGTGGGGGGGTGGGATGGATGGGGGGGACGGTGGGGAGAGTGGGGGGGTGGTTAATCTGTCAGACCAGCTCTTTTCGACACGTAGAAAAATTCAGGAGAGAAAAATGAAGCTTACAGACAGTAGAGCTAAAGATGGCATAAGAGGGAGGCCCCATGCTATATAGTTTGAACCTCTGGATCCAGCTCATCCCGAAGCCCACTATGTACATGAATCAATGTGTTCCTTGTTTTGCCTAAGCAAATTGTATTTGGGCTCTGAATCCTGACTTAAAAACCAGTCTGTCCTCTGCTGTAGGATGAGGTCATCCCAGGGCTATCTAGGTTGAGTAAGGAGGTACACTGTCTTTCTCCTGTGTAGAAGTTCTGGGCTTCAACACCTGGGTCTTGATCTTGAACCCTTCCTGTAGGTATCACATCACCTTTTATAGGAAGCCCAGTAGCCTGGCTGTTAGATAGACATGAGTTCAAATCCTGGCTCTGCCTTCAGCTTAGCAGGTGACCCTATCTGAGCTTCACTTTCTTCGTCTTTATGATAGAGGCAATAACAGCCCACCTCCCAGGGTGATGGGGAGAGAGTGAGGTGTCGTGGTGAAGTGCTAAGCAAGGTGTGGCAGAGCTGGGCACTCACTGGATGACTTGTGACTCACACCAGGAGCCGAAGGGAGCCTGGGAAAAGCTTATAGGAGGTCCCCTGAGCCTCACAGACTGTCCCCTGGTTTGTCACTGAAATATAAGAAAAGAGACACAGCCATCCCTCAGGTACTTACATCTCATTTTCAAAGCATAAGGTGGGACCCACGACGTTGGCGGCTCCACTGGAGATTTTAAAGGCAAAGAAGTTGGCTGGACAGGGCTTGCTGAGACCACACTTGGTCTTCTCCACCTCTGCGGGGGGAACAGATCAGCCTTGGTGGCAGCAGTTTGGGAAGGGGCCAAGTCGGGCGATTTGACCTTTCTCTGCTCCACAAAGCACATGGGATTCTGGCTGTGTGTCTGGCCACTCCAGAACTAATCTGGGGGATCTCTCATCACAGACCTTAGCCCTGTGTCTTGGTAAATGTGTGGAGAAGGTGGTTGACAACCTGAGTCACCATGAGGAAGGGACTCTCTTGAGAATCTCTCTCTGGGGTCACAGCATCCTTGTGAGCTCCCAGAAGCCCCTGCTGGCCTAAGCCTGATGTTTGAGAGAACTCTGTTTAGTTGGGTTTCTTTGGAGAAGTCTTCAAGCTCCTTATACCTCATCTTCCTCATCTGTAAAATGGGTACCCATGGTGCTTTCCTCACTGGCTTCTTGTGAGGACTACATGAGCATGACTTCATGCTCAGCACACTTTTGTTATCCTTCTCACGAGTCATTCACTCAGTGCTCATTTACCGAGCACCTATTTCATACCAGACCCTGGCATACAGGAGGGAACAGAAAGGTAGTACTGACCTTCCTGCCCAGTACAAAATTGCAGCGCACTGTACACTCACTATGTAGCACCTGTCATGATTGTAGCTGTTACTGAGACTCTCACAGGGCAAACCCATGAGGCCTGGGATTGGCAGAAGACATGGATAGTATCGCAAGCTGCATACGTGAGATGCTCAGCCCTCAATGTGATCTTGGCGAGCTGGGACGCCATCTGTGCTTCCAGCCTGAAAGGTTCTAAATTATTCTAATTCATGTCTTTTAGCACCATGTGACAGTGGGAAAGACAGCATTAAGGAGGACAGGGCAAATGTGGGATTTAAGAAAGTCCATCTGCAAGGGGACAGCAAGTGTGGGGAGCTGCTCTCCCCGCCTCCTGCCCTACCCTGTGTAAGGCATCGGCCACTCTCTGTCAGTGTGGCTTTGGAGCAAACCCCCAGGCTTCCTTGCACACTCCCAGGGCTTGCTGGGTGCTGGGCAGCATGGTGAGCATTTTATATTTGTCACCTCATCAAAGCATCCTGGTAGATCCCGTGCCTGTCACATAGTAAGCACTCAATATATCTTCACTGCATGAACACATGGAGCATTTGGACCAGACTGGGCCATAGGCTGGGAGGGACGATGTGGCTGGCATATGTAGAGCCTCTTGGGCCCTGACTGGTCTAGAGGGAGCCTTCAGATGAATCAAGAAAATGGGCCCCTTTGGGGGCGCACAACCCACTGGCACAAGGCCACAAGCTTGTGGCACCTCTGAGTACAGCAAGTTGCTTCTTCTAGGGCTGAGTGTAGCCCACACTGGGGCTACATTTGGATTTGGGCTTCCTGGATTGAAAGGGCAGCAGGATGTTTTAAGTGGATTGCCTAGCATAAGACCCCTGCCTGGTTTCAGCTCCTGCCTGAAGACTGTACCTGAGCTCAAATCAGGCCACACTACTGAGACAGCAAGGACAGGGAGTGGGGACCCTTGCAAAAGGCTGTGGCTGAGGGGAGGGCTGGACTGAGAAGTGGGCCTGACTTCCCTCCTCCTCCCCCAGTGCAATACCCTGGTGCTGGTGCCTGCAGGGTTGGCTGGGGATGGATTCTGTGAAGATCCTTTGTCAGGGCAGAGGCTCCTCCTCGCCCATGAGCCTTACCTCCATCCATCTGCCCCCACCCCCCTAAGAGAGGCCACTTTACTCTTGAGACCAGAGGCCCTCACCTCTGTGTGGGGAAGGGAGGTGATTTCACACCTTGGAGCCACCCCTAGAGTTTGCCCAAAGCCTAATGAACTACAGCTAAGTCTGACAAACCTAATGTCAACAGCCTGGCTTAAGTAGCTTTTCCGGAATTGATTTTCTGACCATCCAGTCTTCACAGCCAGACTGCTGGATGAAGGGAGATGATGCCTGGGGGCCTCAGCCACTGGGAGTCCCTCTCTAGGCTCTGGCTGAGGGTGCTGCCCCCACCAGCTCTCCAAACCCTGGACCCCAACCCTTGGGAACCTGGCGCTATTACTCAGGGTCTGCTAGCATGAACACTGGGTGGGTGGGGAGAAGTCAGGAATCTGGGGTTGCTCTTCTACCAGTCTACTGGGTGACTTGCTAGAAATCTTTCTGGCTATTTTGGCCAACTGTGACATCAGAGGGCTGGTTTAGATCAGAGTGGTCAGATAGTTTTCCTCTTAAATGTCAGTTGGGACCTACTGCAGAGGTTTAATGATAAAGTTTTTGAGATTGCCTGAGGACCTGGAGAGAAATGGTGCTGGGATTGATTGGTGATGTTTGCCCCTGGAGTGGGTAGGGTGGAAGGCCACCTGTGAGTTGGGATTTGCTGTTCCCCTAGCAGATGACATCTGAGTGACTGCAAGATGTCCTTTGCCCTTTTCAGATTCTGACTGAGGAGGCTTCAGGGAGATGGGGCTGGAGGTACGAATGGCTTGTGTTCATTCACACAGGCTTTGCTGTCTGCAATTCCACTGTGCGCTGGGTGTCCATATCCTTCTTAGTTAGTTAAAATCCCATCCCTGGAGCTGAAGCCCTCTTCAGGGTTGTCACCATGTTGGGGGCGGGGGCAGAGAGGCCTGGCAGTGTGGCCTCATGCAAAGAGCTGTTGAGGAGCTGGCCTCTGGACTGGCAGGGTGGGGGTGTTTGACCCCTACTCTCCATTACAGCTAGGTGGCATTGGCTGAGAGGTCTCACCTCTCTGAGCCTCTTTTTCCTCGCTGGTAGAAAGGGAATAATGATAGCGCCTGGAATCCAGAGCACTTCGCCCTAATCCCCTGGCACAGCTGCCATCTCTACCCCAACAGAGAATCAGTGCCCCTCTGCTTGGATCAGGGGTTCCCGTGGTGCTCTTTATGGCCCCTGGCCTTTTGGAAGAGCTGAGTAAGCCTGGGGTCATTGTGATAGTGATAAGGTGGTGGTGTGCCAGGGGAGGGAGGCAAGGGTGCCCTGTGGTCTAGACTGTCAGGGAGGGGCTGGGCAAGGGAAACGGCTGAGCCGTGCGTGTCCCTACCAGTGTGAGTGACAGAGCAAAGGCCACCCTCACCACAGGAACCTTCTGTAGACAACTTTGGCCATGGAGGAAAGGACTGGGCAGACTCTGGACAACGGGGATTTCTTTGGGACCTGCAGGGCTGGTAATAGAGGCCTTGGGACATCCCACCCTAGAGTAGATGGGGCAGGGCTGGGTAGATACTCACCAGTCTTCTTGGGAGCCAAGCCTGTTGGAGAGAGACAGGATGTGGTTATCGAGAAAGCACTTTGGCCCACGTGGGAGGGAGGTTGGGTGGGAAGAAATTAAAACTGCACTGTTAACATGAATGAATGCCACCCCCTCACCTGGGAGTCTTCTCTCATTTGCTGTCACCCCTTTACACAGGCACTCACACACACACACACATACACACACACACACACACACATGCTGCAAGCAGAGACCCCATGTATACACACATACACATGTACATGCACAGAGATGCCTGTGTATACATGTGTGCATACCTGTAGACATGCACAGACATAGACATACACATGTATACATGCACACACATATATATACATGTGCACACAAAAACACACTCAAACTTTCATATACACATATGCATATGTGAACACACACATACATATACAGACACAAATAACTTCCAACAAATAGCTTCTTTTGTGTGTGTGTGTGTGTGTGTGTGTGTGTGTGTGTGTGTAATGGGACTGGGAGTTTGAACTCAGGGCCCTGTACTTGCTAGGAAAGCTTTCTAATACTTGAGCCTCGCTTCCAGCCCTTTTTTGATTTTGATTATTTTTCAGGTAGGATCTTGTGGTTTTGCCCAGGACTAGCCTTGGACTGCAATCCTACCTATGGCCTCCTATGTAGCTGGGACCATCAGCACATACTATCATGCTCAGTTTATTGACTGAGATGGGGTATTGCTAAGTTTATGCCTAGGCTGCCTTCAAACTGAATCCTCCTACCTCTCTACCTCCCCAGTAGCTGGGATTATAGGTGTGAGCCACTGTTCCTGGCTTCTTTCAAGTCTAAAAAAGAAGCCAGGCTGTGCTGTGGAGGCCTCTGAAGGTTGAGCCCTACTCCTAGTGTATGACATTCAACCTCCCTGAGCCTCAGTTTCCTTGCTCACACATGGAGAACATCATAGCCACCCTTACCCAGCTTGGAGGAATCCAGTGAGACCAGTGTGAAAGGGGCCTAGCCCAGTGCCTGACCTTGGGCCCCAGTGAAAGGTGGACTTGTGCTGCTGTTGTTGGTTTGCCTGTGTTGGGGTGTCTCTCCTGACTGCCTGCAGTGTAGACTGTCTGTGCTGGGCTTTTAGGACCTTGCTCACTTTCTGACATCTTCTGTGTGTTCTGTCTGTTTTTGTGGTTCTGTCAGCTCTCCCACCATGTTGATGGTAAGTTCTAGTGGACAGCGGCCCCAGTGGAAACAGAAATGCTAGTGGAGGGAAGACTCCTTTTCTGTGGGCCCCACGTAGCCACACTTTCCATCTCAGGGGGTGGTCGATCCTGGCGTGACTCTACTCCTACCTCCAAGGCCTCAGGTGAGCCAGGCTGGGCAAACCATGATATTACATTCCTCTGGAGACAGAGCCCTTCTCTGGGTTGATGTATTCCCTGGACTCTGGGAGAGAAAGGAACAAGTGCCTTTTTAGCTAAGCTAGAAGTTCATGAGGAGAGCTGGTAGTCATCATGCCTGCCTTGGAGAAAAGTGTGCCCATGGAAGTGGGTTCTAACCTGTTAAAGTATAGTAGCAACAAGTAGAGCCTAAGAATGCAGACAGGCAGGCTGTGGAGGCTCTGCAAGTACATCTAGATCCAGTCATTGCCCATGAACTCCCCAATTAATTACCCAAGACATCCATTTGTGTGTGTGTGTGTGTTTTCCAAAACCAGTTACAGTTGAATTTCTTACTCCATCTGAAAAAACACTGCCTAATTCACCAGCTACACCGGGAGGCTTTACTCTTCTGATTTCTGTGTCATGGATCCCTTTGGCGCTTTGGAAAAGCCTGTGATTTTCCCTCAGAAAACATTATCCCCACCCCTTGAGACACTCAGTATTTCCTTCTCCAACAGACTGCAAGTTATTAAATACATAAAATAAAATAAGTTGCATTACCAAGGAAAGCAATTATTGTTGTTATTATTATCTATCAATATAATAACTGAAATGAAATTGAGTTACAGGAATATCTGCTATAATATGAATACATGAAGTAGTAAGATGGGGGGGTACCCAGGGAAGGAGCCTATGAGGTATGTGAAAGTCACCCCCATGAGTGTGGAATACCATTGGTTTTAGTGGCCATCTTTCCCACTGGGCATGTTGCCTGTCCCTGGCTGCCTTTTGGGAGACTCTGGGTCATGTGGACGCATTTTGTGTTTGTGAACACTGTGATCAAGTCTGTTCATTTCTCTCACTCAGACTATGAGCAGGGGCTACCTGTTTCTCATTTTGGGGTTCCTGAGACCTTATGCAGAACTTGGCATCTGATGAATGTGTGTTGGAGGGGTTGGTTTGTCAACCCCAGGGAGTTGAGGGCTGAAAGGGAAATAATTACTGGGGGAGGGGGGTCTTCATTCAACTGCTGCCCATCCCCCTTGGGCTAAAGCTATGTCCTGAGCTGCACTCCCACCCTGAGACCCCTGCACTCCTGGGACAATCTCCTCTGATGCCGTTAGGTGGCCAAAAGCCAGGCCTTCTGACAAGGTACAGGTAGGGAGCTGGGTGTGGTGGCTTACTGATATTGGGTGGGGTGTGGAAATCAGGAAGATTGTGATTTGAGACCAGCCCAGGAAAAAGTTAAGAAGACCCTATCTCAACCATCATGGTGTCTGTGCCTGTCTTCCCAGCTACACAGAGGCATAGGTAGGAGGATCTTGGTCCAAGGCAGGCCCCTGGCAAAAACACAAGATCCTATCCAGGAAAATAACGACAGCAAAAATGGCTGCAGGCATGGCTCAGTGGTAGGGTGCCTGCCTAGCAAGCATGGAGCTTCAAGTTCAAACCCCAGTACTACCTAAAACAAACAAAAGATACGGCTGCAGGGCTGTGTTAGGGCCAGGTGACTGGTTTCTCACTGTCCTGGGAAGCTGTGAGCTGGCCTGGCTCTTTGCAGATTATGTAGGACTCTGTGAGTAGAGGTGATTCTTGGTCCTCCAGGAGGACAAACGCAGAGGCATAAATCCCAGCCTCCCCTCCTTCCTTTATCAGAAAGGACTTGAATGTGGAGAACTGGGAACCCATTCCTGTTCTGACATCTTAAGGGTGAATTTGGGTGACTTTTCAAAATCTCCCTGAGCTTCTGTTTTCAGAATACAGGAAACCACACCACAGATCACACGACTCCTCTCCATACCACACTACAGACTACTCCCTGAGGCATTTATGCAGATTAACGCAGGAAAAGCAGTGACCATCCACTCATCCATCTATCCATCTACTTGTTCATCCTCTTATCCACCTACACATACACCCACCCGCCCATCTGCCATTTCATCCATCCATCCATCCATCCATCCCACCCATCCACCTATCCATCATCCAATCATTCACCTATGCATACACCCACCCACCTGCCATTCCATCCATCCATCCATCCATCCAAGACATTCTCTGAAGTGGAGACAGGGAACAATAAGGAAACAAAGAAATGAAGTTATGAAGGACACAGGCCAATAGGAGAGAGGCTGAATGAGGAGCAAGGGCCATGGCTGGAGCTGAGGAGGTCATGGAAGGGCCATGTGAACAGAGACCTGAAGACCGAGAAGGAGCAGGACCCCAGGGGTCTGTGTGAAGAGGGCTCCAGGGAGGGAGAAGACCAAATGCAGGTGAAGCCACTTGGCACACGGTATTCATCCTTCCTTTTCTTTCTCCTTTCTCCTGTCCTTCTTTGGTCCAGGTTCATGTGTTCCAGGGCTTTGGAACACTTTTCTGTCCTCTATGGCTCCTGCCTTCCTGACAGCCTGGGGTTCCTCCCTTACACTCTGCCCCCACAATGGCTGGGGGAGGGCGGTCGTCCCAAAGGCACATGCAAACTTTGCCACATCTGACTGTCTCCTGGGTCACCCTATGACACAGGGAAAAACATGTCCCTGCTCTGGGCTGCAGACTCCAACCCTGGGAGTGAGCCCTACTCACCCAGCCAGCGTGGCAGACGGATAGTTTTCTTGCTGAGGTTCATGTAGCTGCGAAGGAAGAGCCATGTGGCCACCAGGGCAAAGACGAGGGCCAAGAGACGGATCAGACCTGCAGAGCAAGGAGACTTTGCCAGGAGATCACGGCACTAGACCACAGCACATGGCCACGCATAAAGTCTGTATGCAAGTTTTATCCAAATCCCACCACTACCACCACCACATTGTAGGTGCAGACCACACCCATGCTGCAGACCAGACCATGGGATCATGGGGTGAGATCACATGCAAATCCATGCAGTGCTCAGACATTGAGAACATGCTGCCAGGTTTTGTGGAATCACGATCCAAGTAGGCCCTAGGGAGAGAAAACTTTAAACACTCCTTTCTGGGGCCCACTTAGACCCCCAGAGAGAATCTCTTGAAATGAGGCCTTGAGTCTGCACTTTTATATAGAACACCCCTTGGCCATCAGGTAAGGCCCAAGAACTGCAGCAGAAGAGCAGGAGGCAGGCTCTCAAGTCTTTCCCTGAATCCTGTAACAGGATTTGGAAAAGCTGTGTCTAATGCTCAGGGAAGCCAGGTGACCTCAGGTAGGACTCAGCCTCTCTGACCTGGAGTCTGTCAGTCACAGAGTGGGCACAGCAATGTCCTCCCCACTGAGGTCATGGTTTATTGGTAGGGATGTTATAGTTATAATGAAGTAGGCTTCTTCCAGGATGGGTTGAGGGCCTGGTAATGCCCCCTTCCCCAATTTTCTATCAAGTCAAAACCACCACACATTGGACTTGCTCAGCAGCTTCGAGACAGGCTGTGGATCCCCGGGGTCTCTGCCTCACTGCCAGGTTGCTACCTCCATCACTTGGGAACAATCCCACAAGGGGAGGGGCACCCAGAGCTCTGTCACTCCCTTACCTTATCAGAGAGCAGTTCTTATTTCACTCCCCTGCTGCCTTCTTTACTCAGATCCTTCAGGTTCAGGTCAAGGTCCTGCATCCTCCTCTGACACCCCTGTCAGCCTTTCCCTGGCTCCTTAGTCCTGAACTCTGTTCTGTGGCCTTGAACAAGTCTTAGCTACTTGGGGTAGGGGAGGAGGCACCCTGAATTCTGCAGAATGGGACACAAATCTGGGGAAATCCCTTGTCTTCTAGAATGGGGTGCAGCTCTGAGTACCCAGAATTCCCCTTGGGCACCAGCTCATATTTGGTAACACTCACATTTTGTGCCAGGCACAGTGTGAACAGCTTTTAAATACATCACCTCAGTTCACCTTCCCACTAACCCTATGTGCTTAGTAATGTTGGTTATTCTCATTTTACAGGTGAGGAAACTGAGGCTTGGAGAGGCAGTTGCTTTGACAGAAGCAGGGTTTGGACCCAGAGAGCTGACTAGAAATCCAGTGCTCCTGCCTTCTCAGCTATTTGGGAACTTTAAATGGGGTGTGTGCATTTTATGTTCGGTGCCTTAGTTTCTCCATGTGTACAAAGAGGGTGCAGTTGGTGTGGACTAGAGGCCTTTGCCTTATTGTGCACTTTTAGTTTTAGGATTCTAGAGTAGTTCTCTTGGAAGTATATATTTTGTCCCTAGTTTCTGATTAGGGGCAGGTGTTTCCAAGATGGAGTCAAATCCCGTGATCCCAGCTAGTGAGGCTACTGGGCAGCGGTTTCTCCAGCCCTTCAGCCTAGAGGTAGGAGGTCACCGGTCCCACTGTTCCAGTTTCCTCTTGGAATTCTGACTGGGCCATTTGAGATCAGATAGACCAAACCACCTCTGAGT